AACATGAATAACAAGTTTTGGAACACGTTTAACTCGTAGACATTAAGAGCTTTTATTTTCCGGAGTAACGGCTTGGAGTGGGCGTATTTACGCACATTAAATATAACCCTACTGGCTTGTTTTTGTTTAATGTATATTTTTTTCAATGCTGAAGAGTAATTACTTGCCCAAGCAATATTACAATAGCTAATGTAGCTATGGATAAAACAATAATATAAATTTATTAAACATTTTTTACTTAGTAGGTGTTTTGTTTTATACATAATGCCTATCATTTTAGAAACTTTGTTTTCAATTAGCGTAATATGATTTTTTCAATTAAGATGTTCATCAAATATTATTCCTAAAATTTTAAGTGATGAAACCCTGTTTACTATATTGTTGTTTATTATTAGCTGAGGAAGTTGCAGAGGCAAGTCATTGGATTTAGATTGGTTATGGAATAAATGTACTTAGTTTTACTGATATTCAAAGAAAGTTTGTTTGATTTAAACCAGTCATTAAGGTTTTCCAGCTCATAATTAACTGTAAAGAAAATTGATTTTAAATTGTAATGGGTATACAAAAGATTAGTGTCATCAGCAAAAAGAACAAAATTAAGCATGTTTGAAGATAGATAAATATCAATTATGTAAATCAGAAACAGTAAGGGTCCAAGAATAGAGCCTTGAGGAACTCTGCAGGTTATTGTTTCTAACTTTGTACACGTTGAATCATAAGATACTCCTTGTTTTCTATTTTTAAGGTAGCATTGTAGCCATTTTAAGTTGTTATTTGTTACTTCATATGTTTCTAGTTTTTTTAGCAAGCCCATCCAGTATTTGACTGGCTAAATCAGTTGCTGTATGATGTATTGAATGCCCTTTTCGGAAACCAAACTGTTTGCTGAATAAGATATTATGTTTTTCAAGATAACTATACAGTCTGTTATACATAGTACGCTCAAGTAACTTTAAAAAACAAGAAAAAAATAGATATAGGTCTGTAGTTAGATGATATAGAATTGTCACCATTTTTGTATACGGGGACTACTCTTGCTATTTTTAATTGACAAGGAAAAATACTAGTTGTAATTGAAAGATTGAAGATAAACAAAAGAGGTAATTTAATTACATTAAAAACAGCTTTAAGAGCATTAACATTAATATTGTCAAACCCGGCACTATTATTTATTTTTTAATCATTAGTAAAAATGTTATTGATAATTGAAGAAGTATTGCGTGTTACGCGCGTTGGTTTGTTGATTACAGGTATTAAACTGTTCTGAAGTAGAGTATTTACAAACCGTTTAGCGTAGGAATCATTATTTATTTTTTTGAATATCTATGTTAAAATCATCAGTTATATAAATGTGTTTTTTAATGATTTTAACAATATATTTTTTAATTGTTTTTCAAATGCTTCAAAATTTCCATTAGGCGGTCTGTAAAGAGAAGTTATAAAAATATTTTTGGTTTTCTGATTAAGAATTTCAATTGTAAACGCCTCACAATTAGCGTCATTGACACTGAGGCTTAGTAACTTTCTAAAAGTAAAAGAATTAAGAATAAAAATACAAACGCCCCCGCCAATGCCGTTTTTACTGGGTTGGTGTATTGAATTATATTCAGGTAGAAAAAAGTTAGAATTTATTTCATCGCCATTTTGACACCAAGTTTCCCTTAGACAGATTACACTAAAATTGTAGTTTAAATTTTTTAAAGTCATTTTTAGGAATTCAAAATTTTTACTCATACTCCTGATGTTCAAATTTAATAATGAAATATTTGATAATGAAGAATTTAAATATCTTGAGGCATCGCTTATATTAAAAAAAACAGTATCTATTAAAAAGTTATTAAAATAGTTCACGTAATGTAATGGCACCCCCCCCCCCACGTGACACCTACTCGCGCCGGCCCTGGTCAGGGTCAAATTCATTTGTTAAAAGTATTGTGTTTTCTCTAGTAAATATATCAAAAACATTCAAAATATTATTTTCCGCCGTTTAAAAATAAAACAAAGTATATATATATATATATATATATATATATATATATATATATATATATATATATATATATATATATATATATATATATATATATATATATATATATATATATATATATATGCGTTTAAATCTGCAGCTGTTTTTCAAAACACCTTAACATGCTTATACGTATTTCGAGAAAAACACAATTAAAAAAAAAATTGTTTGGAGAAACTCTTTGAAACGAATTATTTTTTATGAATTTTTTCAGAACTCTTTGAAAATATATATTCAATAACGTTTGTAGACATAAACCAGCTTATTTTGTAAAAAAGCCAAAAAAGATATTTTTAACCTTAAAACGTTTTGAAAAGCGGCTGCAGAAATATTTATTTAAAATATATATAAACTTTTTAAGTTTGATTTGATTTATTATTACTAAAGTAAAGAGTTTTTTGAAGTAATAATTTTATCATACCTAAGATAAACATTTTCACCGTTGGATCGCCTTTTCTTCACTTCCGCCAATAACAGTTACACAGTTCACGGTCCAGAACAATTGGTATTAATTTGCGGAGGTATAAAACAAGGAAAAAATTCTTTCAGAAGTTTTACCTTGTTTTATACCTCCGCAAATTAATACCAATTGTTCTGGAGCGTCCATTTCTTTTTAACCCTGTTCGATGAGCCCGCTCTACATCTATTCCGATTAATCCTAATTTATTTGCAAAAAGCGATTGAAGTTTTTCTTCTGTTTCATTCCAGCTTTCTTTTTCAGTTTCCAACAAACCATCAGTTCTTAGATTTTTTCTTCTGGATCTATCTCCAGATATTCTTTGTTTTTTCCTGATATTTTCACTAAATGATATTTCTTTTTTTGGTTTTTCGCTTTCTCGTTCGTTGATACTGGCAATTTTTTTATCAAACAACTCCTAGTGGAAAGTCAAGCTCAACTTAACATCTTCTACATCTTTAACTAATAACTTTATTTTGTTAGAATTATCATTAAATTTTTGTTCAATTTTTTCTAATCTGTTATTGAATATCTTGGTAAAATATCGATAACAATTTTTTCTTGCTGTTTCAATATAATCGCCATTTCATTTTTATATTCTGAAAACATTGCAGTAATTTCTTTTTTATATTCTAAAAACCTCTTTTTTAACATTTTTTGAATTTCAACAATCGTGACTGCCATATTTATCAAACTTTCCAGTTGTTATTTAATTTTACTTTTTTTTTTTTTAAAAAAAAAGTTATA